AGCTGCTCTTTACAGCTATTGGATTACAAAGATCAGAGAAATAAATTATAGTTTTAATCTAATTGTCACACAGATATCACATAGATTCATCGTAGTTCATCACACAGATAGAATTGATATATATCTCCGCTAAGAGTTCACCTCTCCAAAATTATGAAAGATGAACGTCATGTCCCAAGCAGAAATATCTTTACAATAATGAACAGTTGTTAATAGCTATTTTTGTAGCTCCCCGCTCCACAATTTTGTGACTGTTGACAACAGAATTTTGTATTTGGCAATTCTCTCTTTCATCCACACAGTCACGCTTACGTTCAGGACGATTAAATTAATTTCTGGGTTCAACCCTTCTAGTTGGTGATTCTAACACTGGCCCTTGCAGAACATCTGCTTGCTGGCTGTCATCTTTGTTCTTGCACATGGGTTGCAAATTCCGTTGCTATCTTCCTCTCGTTGCTTCTTTTTTTGAACATTAGCCTCTTCATTCATAATAACAACTTCTTCACGGGCAACTTCTCCAGGTGGTTCATACTTCTTGATGAAATGCTGAAGTACTTCGATGTCTGTTTAATGAAAAAGAAGTATAATTGGATTCTAGCTGTGGGTAGAAAGGTTGTTTTTACCTGAAAACATCAAGATTATATTGTGCTGGGCGTTGCTCCTCTAGCTGACTCAGAACAGTAAACCCAGGCATCTGTTTTCTTACATATGGCAACCTGGGCCCCCTCAAAATCTTCCGAACCCTTTCAATTTAGGAACAACAGAGCAGGAGTGTTCCTCTTCTCTCAGGAAGAAGTTCAGGTTTTCTTTAGGGGCAAAGCTCCTTTCAGAAGTTTCTGCTGCCCTCCTACACAATCTGTGCTGATGGTCCTTGTGTCCATTTCTTTCCTGAAGAGCATCACCTCTCTGCCTCTGTCAGCGTAATGTGCCTTGCTGTAAACTGGCTCTGTTAACTGATCCAGGCTCAAAACACTCACACAATTTTTTTTTCTTAACGTAAATGTTTTTCTAGGGGACGTCAGTAGGAATCTTTATTTTTGTCCTCAGAAGGTCAAACTCCGATAATCCTTTTCAATGTATGTAGTATCCTACACAATCAATGTTCCCTTTCTTTCTGGTAAGATCACATTTGGATAAAATGACACTGTAAGGCTGCTTGTGGCAATGAATCTGAAATATCTAAGTAGAATTTGGGAACCTCTTCTCTCCCAAGCCTAGATTTCAGTAGGCCATTAAGAATTAAAGCAAAGATACCCCGTCCTGTTAATCAGCATGCCTTTTTTGAGAGCAGCTCTTTCCCAAGTTATGGGAATCCTCATATGGAATTTTCCAGTTACCTCTCCTCAAGGAGTCAGGACACGGCAGAGTGAAAATCTCATCTTCCTTGTTCTTAGAAGAACGTGGTTTTTTTTCATCCTGCATACGAAGGTAGAATGACAGGAGATCTTCCCTCTTCTGTCTTCTGATGAGGTGGTCTTTCATTGGAGAGATTGTCATTTTGCGCCAGATCTTATTTTCCACATGCTTCTCACCTTCCAAAATGTCACAAGCCAATTAGTGTCTATAAACAGCAAAATCGGAATCGACTGAAGACATCATAATGAGTGGCCAAGTGAAAGATTTGTCAATATTTCTCAAGAAACAAGGCCTTTATCTGTGAGATCTTGGTGATCACTGTGCACCGCTCGGTTCAGTGCTGGATGCGTAAGCTAGCTGCAAAGTCTAAGTGCACAAAGTAGGCATTGCAGAAGTATTTTAAAAATTAAATACACAGTCAACAGAACATCATCAAAGGTTATAAGCAAATATCAGGTAGTAAAGATTATTGAAAAACTTACCTGCATTCATCTTTTGCGTACAACCAAAAGTGAGATGGTCGTACGGTGTGTGAGAAAGCAAGCCTTTTGTGTCAGGAGGATCAATAGTTTTTCGTGGTGCTGATCCTGGTAATTTCTGTTTCTCTCTTGCTGGTTTCTTAGATCTTTGTTTCTAAACTGCTTACTAATAGCCCACTGGTAGGCAAGGTAAAAGATTTGTCCCCTTCTTCATGAGAAGCTGATCACAACTTGCGGAGGGAAGGGAAGTGGATGCTGCATTTATTGTTGGCCAAAACAAAAACCAAAAGCAACTGCATCTTACCTGCAGAGTCTGCAGATCCTGATGGTGGCTTAATTGCTCCCTTGATGAGATAAGTGGAAATGGTATGTTGAAGCTTAACATATCCATATAAGGCTATAAATCGAAACAAATACTGTGGGGTAATGACAGGAACACATATTGCAATATACTTCCTCTGTAGGCTTCCAAGTCAAGCTTAACCTGTTGGTGATGCCCTGCAGCTCACCCTGAACAAGTTGAGACCGTGAGAAGAGGAACGGAGAAGTTCACCTCGGCTTTCAGTGACCAACAGTATTTTTAACCAACCCACTGCAGTACTTTGCGGTAGAAACGAGTAGCAATGTCTCTTGCAGAGAATCAGCGTAACGAACCTCAGCGCAAGATCTGGGGAACATCTGTTCGACAGATCTCTGAAGTTGGTCTTACGTGCTCACATTAGTGCTGTGAAGGACCGGCGTGTGTGGTGTTCTGCCTTGCTGCCGCTCTCCTCCTGGGGAGCGCAGGGCCCGCTGCGCAGGACCTGTGTGCACTGCGGTCTGGGCCGGCCCCGCTCCTTGGGCTGGCTGACGGGGAGCAGTGGCCATCGCTGCTGACGCAGACCGTGCCTTTTGCTCTTGCTCTGCGCTTTCCGCCAGTGCTGGCAGGCACACTGCCCTCCACAGCAACCCTCATGTTTCTGTCACATATCTCTATGTTCTCTCTTTCCCCAGTGTTCAGAAGCAGAGGTTCAGATTAACGTAAGAACAGGTGTATGGGGACAAACCTAAACTCTGTGTAGTAGCCCACCTCCAACAAGGGCCAAATCCCAGCTTCCGATGCCTCAGGAAAGGGTTTTAAGACCCAGGCAACCACCATATTACTTCCCAAAACATGCCTGTAGTTCAGAGGTGCATGTTTAGGACTCCTCAGTAGCTGAACTGGCTTTCCCAGTTCTGCTGTCTCCTTTTTGATGCAAGGGGACCTAAATCACACATAACCTTCGACAGTGCACATGCAGGAACACCGTGGATTTTCTTATAATGACAATATGGTTTCTATTCATTTCTATTTCTTCTCTAATGATTTCTAGCATTCAAATCCCTCTTAACAACAAGCTGATGTTTCATGAGGGATCATTACTGAAGAGCAATGATCGTTAGACCCTGTCATATTGCTTTTCCTTTTACCTACAGTAAATTTCATCTGCCAAGTGCAGTCAGCATGTTTTCAGAAGGTCTTCTGTAGAGTTTTATTATAAACCTTTTTTTTCACAGGCCTGGAAAGCTTACTCATTAAGTTTTTTCGCTGTTGTTGCTGTTTCACTCTTCACTCCCTGTCAAGATCAGATGACTATGATAAACACCATGGGCTTCTCTACACAGCATGAGTGTGACACATTGGGAATGCTGGGGCCCGGTGTTCTGGGCTCTCCAGTATGAGAAAGACATGGACATACTGGAAGAAGTCCAGTGAAGGGCCTCAACAGTGGTTAAGAGACTGGAGCATCTGAAATACAAGGAGAGGGGGAGAGCTGGCAGCCTGGAATAGAGAAGGCTCAGGGGGGATCTTATCTGTGTGTGTAAATACTGGACGAGAGGGTGTAAGGAAGCTGGAGCCAGGCTCTTCCGGGTACCCAGTGATAGGACAAGAGGCAACGGGCACCAAATTAGAAAAAGAAATTCTGTTTAAATAGAAGAAAAACATTGTTAGTAAAAAAGAGTGATCGAACTCTGGGACAAGCTGCTTAGAGAGGTGGTGGAGTCTCCATCCTTGGAGACAGGCAAAACTTAACGGGACGCAGTTGTGGTCAACCTGCTCTGGCTGACCCTTGTCCACGCAGCAATGTTGGACAATGCGATCTACAGGGGTGCCTTCCAGCCTCAACTATTCCATGATTCCACAAGCTTTAAAAATTGCTGTACGGCAGATTATTTATGTTATCAGCCTGAATAGTGTAAGGTTGCCAAGTTTAAATGCCACAAAAACCAGGTCAAAGGCCATGTTACTATCAGGAGCCCAAATTCGAAGTTTATTAGGGTATTTACAGTGAGACAATATTCCTACTGAGCCGTTATAGTGGCAGTCTGTTAGTTTTGCAGTTCTGGTTTTGTCTCACCAAACCTAAATCACAGAGCAAATGGTGAATTAATTCTGCAAATACTTAAAAAAAAAGAAACCCAACAAATCAAAGAAAAAAGTCCCCATACAACTCTGTCAAATTAGTATACATTACAGACCTTCAATGGTTTGTTTATAGTTCATGTATGAAAACACTAGCCAATGAATAAGATATAATCTGAAAGAAATAATCACACAGAAATGATCTGAAAGCGAGCCCAGAAACCAAAAATCTAAACGCTTTCTCAGAAAGTACTCACTTAGCATGCATATACAGAAAGGAGCATAAAATGTCTGAGAGATGTATATATTTAGGGCGATCTCACAAATATACAAAAACATTCTGCCAGCTACAAAAGTTTAGCAAAATTTGAGTATCACCTGATTCAGTACTTTCAGTATTCAGATTAAAATATACAATATATCACAGCAAGTGATGTAGTGCATATAGTGCATATAGTAATATGCACAACCATTTTACCAGTGTCTTCAAAATTTCATAATTCAACAACCATGTAAGTATATATTAAGACTCACTGATTTTACTGACAGATAGCACACTTGAAATGAAGTAAAACTGTGCTTAACAGGGGCTAATTTCACAATATCCAAAAGGCCCATTTTCCTTAAAATTCAACTTCAGCAAGTCCACTTGCCAGATTATTAATGTCAGGTCACAGCAAGGTGAGAGTGTTATGCAAGGTTACACCCAAAAATACTGAAGTCATACACACCTTTAGTAAACGTAAGCATGCTAAACTGTATCATTAAATGCATATATGATTTTAATAAACAAGTATATTTTTTATCTGGGAGACATCTTTTCCTGGTGTGTTTGAGGGTTTGCCTGAAGAATCTTTTTCTGAACTGCATAAAGCATCTGCAGTAAAAGCTGTATTGTTTGTGACCAGCTCAGCAGCGTAACTGTGCAATATTTGCTCTAGTCTCTGAATACCTGTAGAGAGGAAATACAGAGGGAAATACTGACTGAACGTATGGAGAAAAAAAATTCACCATGAGAGTGATTAAACACTGAAACAGGTTCCTCAGGGACGCTGCGTAATCTCCGTGTTTAGACAGGCTCAAGCCTTGACTGAGCAAGGCCTGGAGCAACCTGCTCTCTGCCTTAGAGGCTGGCCCTGCCTTGAGCAGGGAGTTGTGCTGGATTACCCGAGAGTTCCCTTTCAGTCCACATTTTTCTATAACTCTATATGCTCTGTTTCACAGTTATCCCCTTTGCCAGCAATATAAAGCATTCATTCAAGATTAAGTATTTTACAGCATAAGTGATGGATACATTTTTCATATCCAACATGAGCCACAGAAAAATGAGGGATAGTGGGGAATTCCCACATCATAAAGCATAATTTGAAATAGTATAAATCCTTTCACATAAAATTTGGTTCTTTACTTCCGATAGAGTGAAAATAAATCTTAAAATTAAATTCTGAAAGCTTAGGGGTTTAACAGAATCCAACGTAAGCGCTTTGTCACTGATGCTCTGGGCCAATCTAATATTTCTCAGTTCGTACAAATTCTAAAAATGTCCCTCACAAGCTGAGAGTGAATAATTAGGTTTGAAATCACGATTTATAATGCTAACATTTCTTAAAACTTGTGTGCTACTATGTGCCGTATTAGAAGTAAAACCCACTTACACAAGTGAATCTTATCCACAGAATCGGAGAAAACCAGTCTAAATGATCCAGGTTCATAACAATAAAAAGCTTTTCCAGGGCTAGTCAGGAGTTTTTTATCAAGAAGCTTCTGCCGTAATTCAAGTTCAGCTTCAAATGTCTGTGATTTTAAGAACTGAAAGAAGAAAATAATTTTTTATTAAAGGTTGAACAAGTGCATAAATTAATTGAAAGGATTTTTCCAGGACCTGACTTGACAAAGTGTGTAACAACATGCATAAGTAATTTTTACCTTTCCAAGTTCTACATTCCCACCCCTTTTCAGACTTCTTACATACCTTTCTGAAGTCTGCCCACACATAGAGTCCTCCTGAACTTTTGAGCACAGGTATCCCAACATCTGTCAGCCCATCCACAAGAATACTCTGTGCTTCTTTAAGTCGCTTTTTGTTGGTGGGAATAAATACATTAGCCAACCAATCTGTCAAAGCAAGAAAAATGTGATTGTTTTACTTACACCTGCAACGGAAAAATAGAACAGCTCAATGGAAACATTTCTAGTGTGGCTAACCTCTGTCCCCAAGGAACTGACTGAGAAAGTGCTGGACAGGTCCGGGACAGCTATGGAAGACAGCCAGCTGATTCACAGCCTTCCGAATTCCATGATTTCTGGTGTACAATACTCCGACTCTGATACCACTCATACAGAAATCCTTGGAGGACAAAAAGAAGGGAGCGAGGTGCAGTTTTTACTTTATGTTTGTGCTTTGTCAAGCCACCAAGTCTAGAGTCATTGTGACGTACAGGAAAAAAACACCCTTCTGGAGTAAATTCTCAACGTTGCCAAACGGAGTCCCAAGTGTGATAAAAACCAGCCAGCAACGTCTGAACAACCCTGCGGCAGGGAGGTCAGTGGCTTTAACAGGGCTGCTTTACAGGCTAACTGGAAACACACTTGGCTCACACCCTTGGGCTGTCCCCATTACACCCACTATTGTTTCCAACCAGTCATCGGTTTACTGTTCCCTCCAAGAGAAGAAAAAGCAAAATGCTACAGATCTGAAATGGGCTTATATGTTTCAATGCCTTTAATGCATATGCATTAACTGTTGCTGTTACGTTGATCCCAAATTAAACTCAACTTTAACAAATTTTACACTACCAAAGAAGAAAACAAAGTAACAAACAAAGAGAAACTCAGTTTGGCACCTGTGACACAAATTACGTCAGAATAGCCCAACTAATTTTTGTGGAGAAAGGTCTTAAATTAAAACGCCAACAGTATTTTGATCTACCTTGCTAAAACCTCACATAAAATGTGTCCGTTCTGGATCCGGTAAACTGAATGAGAAAAGAGAAAGAGAAGAACTGTTGCTATAGAACAACAAGTTATGCAGGTTACAAAAATGTTTACATTTGTAAAATTGTAGTAATTTCTTAGTAAAATTGGTATTTAATATTTTAAGGTGACATGCCATTTTTTCAGAGATCTTTTAATGAAACATTACCCTATGACACTGATTAATGGCCTCAAGTGGCATCAGGGGAGGTTTAGATTAGATATTAGGAAGCATTTACTGAAAGAGTGGTCAGGGTTTGGAACAGGCTGCCCAGGGAGGTGGTGGAGTCACCATCCCTGGAGGTGTTCAAAAAACGTGTACATGTGGCACTTCGGGACATGGTTTAGCAGGCATGGTGGTGATGGGTTGACGGTTGGAGTTGATGATCTTAGAGGTCTTTTCCAACCTTAATGATTCTATGATTTTTCCCTGTGTTTTCTAAACTGCTATATACAAAAGGTTTTGAAAATACGGATTTCTTGTCAGAACTCTCAGGATCAGCTCACAGAAAGGACCTGCAGTAAGATGTCACCCTCCAGTTAAAATTCCCAGATTCCCACTGTGTAGTCTGATCTTGTACTTGACAGAGAACTGTTTGGTCAACTACGTCGCATTTGAGGCTAGGGAAGGGAGAAGCAAACATTTCAGGGCATGCACCTACACAGTAGGGTGCAACTAAACAAAACACACCTCAGTCTACCACTGAAGATGATGGCTTTTTCTCCTTTGTGCAACTTTGTGTAAGTAAGGCCAAGGCTGGAAATCTCCTTCTTCAGTCCAATAGAGCTGGGTGAACTTTCACAATAACAAAAGTATTTTTTTAGGCTTTGTTTATGGTTCATGATCTTGTGTGGGTGAGGGCTCACTGGGCTTGGATGGACTTGGAAATTTCCCACCAGTAGGAAATTTATGCAGTTACACAAAGACAATGACGTACTTTTTGGGAAAGAAGTTTTATTAGTCAGATACCAACAGGTTTGAATATTCTTGAAGCATTTAATCTCTTCATCACCTGTTAGGAAACTAAGAGCCCAACAGCCTACTACTCAGGAAGGAGGCTCGTTATAGCAGGTAACTTGCACAACCTTAGGCAACTTCACTATCATTATGGTGACAACCTTATGCTCAGGCTGCGTAACAGGGAACAACAAAGAAAAGCAAAGTGGCAAAATGACTAAGTGCTCTATCAAGTTTTATTGTTATTACTGTACCATACACATTAGCTGGAAGCAAAAGATCTGCCATTTAAAGCAGTCTATGAAGAAGATCTCTTGTATTAACTAGTCTCATAGTTGCAAAGACGTGGATATGAGTTAATTCGCACTATACCAGTTACGCTAGCTAACCAGAAGCTTGAGAAAAACAGCTTGGGTTCTACTAGGATTAAAAATCTTTTAATCCCTGCTAGAAATCACACTTACCAATCTAAGCTAAGAACACTGGTGAAGGTGGTATCATCATAAACAGACAGCATGTATATTTCATCCATTAGTACATGCAATTCATATCTACACATAGAAAAATACAGGCATATTAACATATTTTTAAAAAAATTTCTTTGCATATATATGTATACTCTCAACTACTGCCGTAACAAAGCATCCATAAGCACACCTATTTGCTATTGCATTCCCCCTACAAATTTTACAGCAAGAGGTCACAAGACGTACTGTGAGCACTTGTGCATCACCAACTTCTTTTTACACATAGTCTATACTTCGCAGCAGCAATAACTTTCCATATATCTGAAACAAAATCCAAGTGCCTGCTCAATCCAGTGGTTCTCTGGAATATGTATGGTCCCACCCAACTCTTATTTAAAATTTAAAATTAACATAGCAATATATTATAAACTCCTTTACCCTGCAAGGTTTCGCCAGCGAGGCTTGAAGTTGAAAGCAGATGTTAGATTTTAAAAAAGACTTGCCATGCACTTAAGATAACTCTAATACACTCTGGTTGTGAAAGCCACAGTAAACAGTAAGTCACGTTATCATACTTGATACCAACAAGCCATGCATATATTTATAAATACTGAAAAAAATTGCAGAACGGTTTTAAACACCCAAGTGGCACACGTATCCTCTTCTAAGTAAACCTCATTTAATTTGATCGTTGAGTTCTATAATTTTTTTAAAAGGAAGTTTTGTTTTGGAACAGTTTTTACATTAAAAGTAAAATTGTTGTTTCTAATCCTTATTCTCTAACATTATTTTAGTACCAACTTAAGTTGGTTGCATCCTGAAATCCATGGGGCATGCTGAGAAAAGATACATCTGCCTTTTTAAAAACTTGGTAACTGGAAGTAGCACATTGAACTCTACCAACCTCCACTGCTGTTTCCATGACAAGAAAATCATGCCACAAATGCAGGAATGTTGTGTTATTCCCAGTAATCTTTGGTAATTAATGAGCAATTGCTACCAAGCCACTCTTTTTAGGATTGTCAGAAACTAAGTACTGTCAGCTTTCAGAGCGCATACAGGATTTTGTGGTTACTCTTTGGCAGAAGCTCACTGAAGCAATAAAGAAAGGTATCTTTTCCTAAAAAAATACAGATGCTTTTTAAAAGGACGTGGTTTTTCCCCATCAGCATCCAAGGGATTCAGGAGACTGTTACAGCTTAGAACATGACTCTGAGCTGGGGAAGGATAAAAGAAGTGGAACGGGGCTGAGACATTTCGGAAGTATCTTCCTTTGGTGGAAAGCAAATTGCTTGCACACCTCAATCTAAGTAGGTATAAAAGCTGCTACAGAACTTCAGGCCATTGACTTACTCCTCGCCAATTCAGTTACTTTCCCCCAATATCAAATGTTCAGATTTTCCTACTTTGACAGTGTTGCAAATGACGGTGCTGGCCATGTTTACTGCTACTGCTGAAGACTGAAAATCAACTGTTGTCATTTTTCTGAGCCATGCATCAAAGCCATCTAATAAAGACATATTGTTAGGCAAACAAAAATCCCAACAGCATTTGATTAAGAAAGACATTGTTGGATCCCAGCTTAAGCAATTTATTCCAGTGCTCCCAGAAAGAGACAGCTACACAAGAAACCTGACCCGGACCCTACCCACCACCTCCTCCGAACACGTGCACGCAAAGAACAGGTGATCACCAACCATCTCATCACTGCTATACTGCATCAGCAGAAAATGAAATAGCGAACAAACAGCACCAGGGCTCAACCCTGTGCGCAAACTCCAGACACTCTTTCAGTAACTGTGCTGGGTAAATGTCCCCTAATGGGTTCTGCGGGTTGATCAGGATAAACGCTCTGACTCGGACACCCTGGAAAAAGAAAAACTGATAGCTGGAGACACAGACGACATCACGGCAATGACTAGCGAGGATGCAGCGAGGGAGTTTGTGAATGCTTCAGGAAAAAGCAGCTTTTGAAAATTATTTAATCACATACTATAATTACTATACAGATGAGGTTCCAGCGCTACCAACCTTGTTTTGTAATTTATCCAATACCATCCCAAAAAGCATACTAAATAGTTTATTAGAAATGTAGATCAGGTTAGCACTCATTTGAAACACCCACTGATATCAACAGGCAAGATTATGGTGTTGTTGGGATTAATACTGGTTCTGCAGACATACGTCCAAAATAATTTCCCAGGACTGAGCAAAATTACTGTTGGTAACCATGGGAAAGCTGAACAGAAGTTGGACTTCGACATCTAATAACCTGCCAAGTAATAAATTTTTCAATGTTGATTATTTCTTTAAACAAGTAATAGAATTTGCAGAATACTGAAAATTGAATTACTTGGTGTTCTATGAGATGCACAGAGGTCTTGGGCAAATAATTACTTTTTAATTATATTTACCAACAGTGCAGAATTTCTGTTACGGAAATTCTCTCTCCACAGAAGCTAAATATCCTACTGTGTAATATGAACAGTCCCACATGATCAAAAATCAGATTACAAGTACAAACATAATCAGTCTTTTTAACTCTACAGGAATTTTCCAGAAAATAATTTATTTTACACTTGCTAAAAAAAAAAAAAAATCCTTAATGTACATTAACATAAGCTATATGGAGCAAATACATTTTTATTGTACACAATCAAAGAGTGCAATGACTACAGCAGGAACTTTCAAGACTTTAAACATATCAATATGAGGAGTTGCCTTATTGCTTCATGTCTGGGATTAACTTCAAATTCAATTATTATTTTTAGTTTCCACATTTTTAATTTTTAGAAAACCTCACCCACCGCAAATTCTCACTCCATCCAAGCCTCCTCCAAAGTAGATTGTTTGCAAAGACCAACCCTCGGTGAACTCCAGGACATAAAGTTCAGTGATGAGGAAGCCCTGCTATTTGCTTTCCTTGCCACGTGCAATTTGTCTGAACCTTAACAGGTACTGCGAGCAAGAACTTTGCAAGAAATGAACTTTCAGTGTATTGCCTTTATTCCAGCTACAGGGAGCAATTACCTGACAGCAAGATAAGATGCAAATACTAAGCACGAACAGCTGTTCCCCGAGTACTCCTTGCACAATAACGTATTTAGGGTATTGCACATAAGCAGAAGATGCTGAGTGAGCCATTACTGCTCAGGGGAACAGCTGCCGTGGGAACGGCAGTTGCTCAGTTGTTGTTCTAGCCTAGTTCCTCCAGCTATTTATTGTATTACGTGTATCCAAAGCAGATGTTTATGCTATTATTCGTGAGAACAGTCTCAGCTCTAGCAGGCTGACAAACACACGGAGGTCTCTGAAGCGCTGACCTCGCCTGTGAGCCCGTGCCCTGCCAGCCACAGCAGCACAGCAGGGATGCTCGCTGCCTCCCGCTGCCGGGGTCCAGCCGCGAGTGTCTGAACGCTGGGGCTCACACCGGCTGGCAAAGGCACAGACGGATGACACAGATGTGCAGATGGTGTCTAAACACAGGCACCACGCTGACCAAGCAATTAGCTAACTAGGACAGCTTCAACATAGCTGCAAAAAAAGTGATGCACGCAGTGGCATGTATCCAAAATACCCACCTTTTTTATGTGACCCTACTTATACCTGACCTCTGTAAGTGATCTTCCTTGTAACTACAGCCTTCATCTATTGTTAAAGCTCGTTTTGTATCCTGGAAGAGGACACAAGATGTCTAGCTCACTTCATGCTTTGAATCATCACTGCCGTCACCACCACATCTTTGGTAGAATGTTTTATGATTCAGCCTGTGCTTCCTCCGCCGGATCTTTTCAAGGAGTAGCCCAAACAGGTAAGTGAAAGTGCATTTATAATTTTCCATGAAGTGAGTGGATTATGAACGTCAAGACAGTAAGAACAGGAAATGTTTTAGCCTCAAATGCTGGTGAGCATTATTTTGTGGACATTCACAAAACCAAACATTTCCACAGGAAGAAAAGTGGTTCCAAAGACAGAGAGGAATGTGAAAAAACAAATATTCTGTGTAACAAGCAATAATATCCTCATTTATGCAATCCTGCTCAGAACAAAATCACTGAACATGCGAAGTGTTTTGAACTAATGAAGTTTCCTAAACTCTGGAAAAATTACATCTGTAATTTTTTGTTTGCTAGCAATTCCTTGTTCGCTGGAACTCAGAAGAACCCTCTTCAAAATCACATTATACATGTTTCTTTAATTAACTGAGTAGGTCATTACAGTAACATATTCTTTCTTCTGAGGGTCAGAACAAGGGCTTGTTTACAACACTTCGCATTCCTTTAAAATCTACAGAGAAAGAAACTTGGTCTTGAAACACAAGTTACGATCTCTTCTTCAAAACAGAGTCAGAGAGTTTCTCTGCATTTTGCTACAGTGCCCAGATTATAAAATCAATTTGACTCCTGCTGCTAGAGTTGGACCCACCTCAGCCACAAGATGGAAAATCTGCACAAATGCTTCAATGCTGAGATCATACGCTACTTACAAAATAACCAGGGAAACATGAAAATCAGAAATCAATGTTATTGATACCTGCTTTTTAGCTCTTTGTAATGCATCTTCTAATTTTTCAGCTGTTAACTGGAAGGGTGACTTTCTTTGTCAGTCACCTACAGCACAAAAAAAATCAACAAGAATTAAAAAATATTAAACATGCATATATAATATTAAATACACATATATAAAAAAAAGAAGACAGTGAAGAAACACTCCCACCTAGTGAAAATAAAATTGCTACTGGCTTTTATTAAAGAAACTGAAACTAAGATCAGTCTTTTCTATGTAACTGAATTATTTTGTTTTCAAATGTTGCCCTTATCCAAGATTACACTATTAGTGACTTACAGAAGAACTTGTGTAGTTGAATGATCACTTTTTTCCCCCTCTGACTGTATGATTTGGTCTTATAAAAGATGCTACCTGCCTTCGACTTGCCTCACAGATTACTGAGCTTTTAAAGGCGGATCGAATGTTACACATTTTATGTGGCAGATACATCTTTCCATGCTTAAGGAGAAAAATTTGCAAACCAAATTTACTTGTGGTAGGAGTGACAGACTTAGAGCTGGCAAATTATAATTCAGCATCTCAGTGCAGAACAGTGTCTGCCCAGAACCAACGTAATCCTACACATCTGACGGCACCAGCCTCCTGCCGTGCTGCAGGCTGAGAGAAAGCCAGGCTGTCGCTAAAGGTGCTAGACTGGTCCCGGCTCTTCGCGTGGACCTGGTTTGTGTTTTCAGGGTTTTTTTGATTGTTCCCTGTGAAGTGTCTGTTAATGTATGTCAGTAACTAAAGCTCACTGAACAAGGGCACGTGAACAGGCTGTATTCCGCCATATAGCCATGTTTTTGAATTTATACCACCGTAGTATGGAGCCGGAATGCGATATCCATCTAAAAATACTAAAAAATGAAAGGAACATTTCGCACGAGCAATTATTTCATGATAGTCTAACAGACTAAACTGACAATCTAAGAATTTGACATCTGATTTAATCTCAAAGCCTTCATTATGCCCTAAAATAATATTTAAACAGAATTGAAAATATAGCATACATCAGTCAACCTGAATTATTTCCCAATTTTCTTCCTTAGCATTTGCAATAGCAGATTCAATAGTCATATAAATTTTCAGTAAAGGGAATGGACTTGATCAATGAGTCATTTTATTTATTCATTCATTTATTTCAAGAATCATGACAAATTACGATCTTGCTCTCGCTATTTTGCTAGCGCTCTGTTACCATCACTTTTTCATCAGGAATTGCTGCAAACCTCAACTACTTCCTTCTGGTTGCCCAGGTGCTCTCTTGCAGCCAGGGAACCTGCAGCACTGTGGAAGCTGTGTCCGTCCTCATTTTTTTTTTCTGGGAGGTAGCCCCAGGTTCCTATGTTAACCAAGGGGTACAAAGGAGCCTGTCAGCACTCAGGTGGAAGTTCCTGTTAAAACTGCAAATACAATGAAATCTGAACACGTTAAAACGGACACAGATACAAGCAGCCTTAGTAAACATCATTTAAAGCTAAACAAACCCCACTGGTTTCACAGCACTTTTTGCCACTGCTACGCTGAAGCCATTGCACCCCATTCCCCCGCATCACAGCACCCTCCTCCCAGGGGTGCCAGCAGCGGGGTGCTACAGCGGGGCACCTCTGCCTCCTCCTCACCACCATCTTCCTTCCACGTGTTCTCTTCACCCAGCTGCCAAATTTTTTCTGGGTCCCAGATTTCAACCCAGCCCACCTCCCTCCAGCTTTTGCCACGGTTTCCACCTCTTCTTCTCAGAACTTTCCCAAACACACTGCATTCTCTTGATACCCTTCTCCTCTTCCTATAATGCTCTTAAAAAAAACATAGCTTGCATTCCAGAAAGTCAGCGGGCCTGCTGACACCTCAAACATTTTCCACCGTTCTAGAAACAGGGGCATTATTTCAAAGACACTCTGCCAGTACAAAGAAATGCCATGGCTTGCTTCCTTCAGGCAGTTACAATAACAGAAGGCTGTCAGGAGTCACAATATGATTATATTCACTTCCAACAAACGTTTTTAAGTAAAATAATCAAGTTTTTACTCACCACCAGGGTCACACAATACAGTTGACAGAGCAGCAAAAACAGCACAACAGCCATTCATAACAGTTATCTGGAAGAAATAGTACAAAGTTTCATTTAGCAATGAAATATTTAGCAGAAATATCAGCACTTGCCTAGTTTAAATTCAAAAAGCAAGAGCTAAAAAGCCATACCACCACACCTGTAACACCAAATCCTTGAATGTTACGTTGCCCACTTTTTCAAATGGAATATTAACACTACTAAGACTTCTGCAAATCTGCCATATATCCTTCCTGTAGTATCTTGCTGACATTTGTGCTCAGATTTGCTCATCTTCTTCAGTTTGAGAAAAATAGATAAAGTACTTGTCTTACATATTCCGGATTCAGTTCTTCTGCAGCTCTGGCATAGTGAGTTAGAAATTTGGCAATTTCTTCTCTGAAGCTAAAACAGAGAATTAAAGTCAACTATGCAATCACATATTTCTCAGGAAAAAAAAAAGAAGCACAAAATACACTGAGAATGAAGCTTACCAAAACCAGAACAAATGCATAATTCATTCTGTTATGAAAGCCTTGAAGATTTTGATTAAATAACATAATTTCTTCAGATATCCAGTGTGCTACATTTTGTGAGATACAAGCACGCAGAAGCCATCTGCTGCCTTGAATAAGAGTGACTGTGACTCAACTATTATTGCTGTACACTAGAAAAATGAGAAATTATAGAAGCATCTTTGAGTCCAAGTGGGGTCTGGTTTTGGAGAAAAGACAATAATTTGGGTACCAGCAACAGTGAAGCCCGAGTAAATGATGCTTCTTTAGATCAAGACAGGCTTCCAGCCCAAGTGAAGACGATGGTGGAGTTCCGATCGACCTTCAGAAGGCTGCAAGGGGACCTTATAAATGCTTGCAAATATCTGAAGGGTGGGTGTCAGAAGGATGTGGCCAAACTCTTTTCAGTAGTGCCCAGCGACAGGACAAGGGCCAACGGGCAGAAACTGAAGCACAGGAAGTTCCGTCTGAACATGAGGAAGAACTTCTTCCCTGTGAGGGTGACGGAGCACTGAAACAGGCTGCCCAGGGAGGTGGTGGAGTCTCCTTCTCTGGAGATATTCAAGACCCGCCTGGACAAGGTCCTGTGCAGCCTGCTGTAGGTGACCCTGCTTCGGCAGGAGGGTTGGACTAGATGACCCACAGAGGTCCCTTCCAACCCCTACCATTCTGTGATTCTGTGATTCAGGGGGCCAGTATTTCACCTCCCCTCCACAGTTCCCAGAGTTTCAGTTTATCCCCCACCCAGACCAGAATGAATCACTCCGGGAGCAATCTGCCACAGCTCTGGAGCAAACAGCAGTACCTGCTCCCTGGCTCGCCAGCAAGCCCCTGGGGATCTCTGACCCGTGGCATTCCGGGCCTTTGTGGTACAGAGAGGGTGGGGAGAAAACCAGAAAGAAAATGCGGAAAGGTAACTCCTGCGCAGGAACCCAGGCATGGCAGGCAGTAACACACCTCTCCTTCGGGCTCACCGGAGCGGGGAAACCACACCCAGCTTCCCACGAACCATGACGAGCACTGGCCACGCGCAACGTGGAGAGAGGGAAGATGAACATCTTACCTTCTGGTACCTTGCGTATCAGAATACTGGAAAAGACTAGGCTCCAGATAATTCATGTCAGGTCTTGTCAGCTAGTGACATGAAAGAGAGAGAGTGTAGAACACAGCGCTCATGGGAGTTTCTGTTCCGTTGTAGCATATGTATTTAAAAAAAAATATCCAGCAGTATTAAGGAAATGGAGAATATAAAAATTCAGGAGTTACAACTCTGTTTATACTTTGCACTTCTCTTTTTTAGCTTTAAGTTACTAGAAAACAACATTAAAATGTCATTAAAATAAAGGAAGAAAATAATGAAAGAATTATTTATTGGATTATCCTGTCACATATTAAAACAAGTCCTGAATAACCCATTGAGCAAAAGCATCCCAGCTGTACCTACCGGGTTATGCAGCCACTTCTGAGATACATCAAAGCATAAACAAGGCTTGCAATATTTATGATACTGGCTTTTAATTCACATGTCAACTTTGATTAGCTTCTCAACCAACAGAAGAAAAGCAACAGCAACCCTTCCCGTTACAGGAATCCCAGACTGATCTTTTCACCGAGATACCGTTCTTCACTAAATCATTTCAGCTAATTCAAGCTGTTAAAGATTTTTGGAAACTATTATGGGGCAGCACTAAGAGCCACAATACCTCCGCTGCTTCTCTAACAGCAGCTGATGCACCACTGCTGCTGCACGGTGTCAGAGGAAGGCTGTGTGCTTGGGAGCCTTACAAAAGCCCCACTGGCTGCTAAAGGAGATGGAGGAAGAATTTTTCACACTTTGTTTGCATTAGTCTGACTTGCACTTGTGACCTCAATACCAGTAAAATGATTTAGCATTTGTTTACCAGCCACCATCTGAGCATCCGAAAATATTTTATCCTAGATCTCTCTGCTGCATAATTGGAACAGCACACTAAACCTTAGTCAATAGATTTTTATTTCAGTGTACCTATGACAAATTTTTACCCTCTGGCCTATTTGAGAAAAGGGAAAACTAAAGCAATTGTGCCTTAAACCAACATTTGCACCTTTCCAATCCTGTTGTGTGCGTATGCTAATGAAAAAAGAGACATAATCTGGTACAGGGCTTGCTAAAAACCTAAAACGGGTTATAGAACTGATGTCTCCAAATTTGTACCTGAGGCACAACTGGGTATTAGTTAATAAATGTTAAACTTTTCAAGTATCTTAACAGCTCGCACTGAGGCCAAACACATCATTATCACGACCAAGTTGCCGTCTCCCTTGTGCTTCCGATGCAAAATATTTCACTTAACCCACGCTTACCTCTGACGCCCAGACCGTGCTCACAGATGGCCCACTTTGAAGAGAGGGTGTATTAACTGCAACGGAGACTCTACAACCCCTCTCCTGAAATGTGTAAACGGGTTATCCCCGAATGACGCCCGTGAGAGTGAAGCGAATTCCCACCTGTCAGTTGACGCTGACAGATTGTAGTCCGGTCTCCCAGCCTCATTCCATTGGGTCAATGCGGCCCGACTCATGCAAGAAATTGTGTTCTTCTTCTGGGCCGCTCCAAGTCCCTGCACTGCTCACGGTTTTATGATTGTTGCCTGAACTCCCTGGAAAGCAGGCTTCACTCCCACCCTGCTACAGGAGCTGAGGAGGTATTAAATAATCAGCAAATAGTCAGATTTTCATGCAATTATACAGCATGTATGTATTTTACTATCTTCATAATAATTAAGAGTTATGAAATAAATTAGGCAACAAGTAAAATGATAAATTCATAATATTAACAAAACCAACTGTATATTGTTTCATATTTTACATATATATATATATACACACAAACACACACACCAGTTAATTCGAGTAAAATATCTTGTGAAAAAATTAAATTCATACAATGCCTGTTTTTTCAAATTATATTTTAAAAGATTTGCTTGCTTTTGGGCTGGAGGAATTTACTTTGCTCCCCTGATGCCAGAAGAGGGAGAGGGAGAAACTCCCTGTATGACATTAAATGTGGATTGGTGCACACAAACTTTAGACTTGTTTGGATGAACTAAAATCCAAAGTACTTTTCAACTCTAATGTAAATCATAAAATTTGTGTCTTTTAACCAGGCTGCTAACTGCCGCGCTTAAAATACTGCCAAGCAGAGTTCTAGCTGGTGACATCTAATACGAAACATTAGGCTAATGTGTAACCTAAGCCTCAGCAGACACTGCTTATCTTTTAATTTCATTTCAGGCTAGGAAATAATTTCTATTTTTCCCTTTGGAAATGAAACAAAGTTTGATTTCTTACTAAACATTATACAAGAAATATCTCATGAAATTTTTACTGTACAACAGAAGTTCTGTTCCCCAAACAAACGACAAATGTAATTTACAGCAGAGTAGCGTTAACAATAAAAGGACCTAACACAGTGGATGGTATTTAGTGTCCCCAATTCTTGGAAAAGCAAGTCTGGCAGATTTTGATTATTAGGAATTAACAAATTCCATCAACGTTGAGACATCTGAGCCTTTCAGTAGAGTTAATGGCACCGATTAATGACTTGTGTCATATTTTTTCTAGAAACTTTTTCCAGTCATCAACAGACTCAATCCGGAATTGTGGATCCCTTCAAAACAGGCACATTTTTCAAAGGGAGTGTTCGAAAAATTTGTCAGCTACACAGCTGTAAGAAGATAGCTTCAAACATAAATTGCTTTTAGAGTAAAAGCTGCCTAAACATTTATTTAAAAAAAAAAAATTATGGGATAGTAGAGGTAGCAAAGTGAGATAATCCCTCGCATGTGAGAAACAGGTTAAGTGTTTGCATCTATTTTTAACACTCACTTCTTCAGAAGTCCCTCCACTATGGGGAAAGACTGGTTGGCGATTGAGAAAAGGTCAGTGACAGCTGACAATGTTGGTGACAACAGGAGTGAAAGGAAAAAAGCTACCCCAGGTTATCAATCTTTTCTGGGGGCCATAATACGTACCCAGGAAAACTGACATCGGTGTCCCGTAAGGGAGGTAGGAATGAGCGATGAGCTGGCAGGGAGGCACAGAGTTTGTCCGGTTTCAGGCTGCAGGTTCACAGAGAGATTACTTGGTTCTTGCCGTGACGGCGGAGGCTGTCAAAGAGCGGTCAAGAGGCTTGAACAGGACACCTGCCGCTGGCTGCCTGCGTGACCTCCACGCCCCGCCGCAGCTAAGTCCCCGCTGCCCTGCGGAAGGCGAAACAAACCTTGTCGTTGGTCCCTTCGCACTCTTGGTGCACTGCTGAATCCCGGGCCCTATGAAAGAGCCTCCCTGGGCAGTGAAGAGCAGGGATTGTCCTCCATTTAGCCACAGGCTTTATGCTCCCTCTGCATCAGGCTTCTGTGCCTGCATCACAATCTTCGCCAGGCTTCATGTAGATACGCTACTACCTCTTAAGATGAGATGTTAATATAATTCAGAATGTAACCGAAGATCACCTGACAGCAACTAGTTATAAATAGTGACCTACTTGCTTGGATCAAATGATATTACCCACGGCAATAGTCAAGCTTGTCTATATAGAGAGTGGGGTGTACGTGCACATACACCCCCCCGAGTTCGTTCAGCACACTGCTGAAATTCCTTGCGGGTAGAAAGGAAGAGTGCAGATTCAGAAAGCAGATTGGGAACCTAGGCTTCCTGTTTTTAAAGAACATTTTCCACGACAGTATAGTATCTAATTTTGGTTGAGGACTGATAGGATCTCAACCTATAGTCTAATGCAAGCATGCATTCCTTTTAATTTTTATAATACTTGGCATTGAAGTATAGTATTCTAATTGCTAAACACTAACCAAGCCTTATACTTCTATGGATTCGAAGGCTGTGGTAGACACTGGTGCACAGTGTACACCGATAGCATCAGGGTACAGGGGCACAGAACCCCTCTGGATCCCTGGAGTGATGGGGGGATGCAAAGAATTCTATTAGAAGCTGAGGTGAGCTTGACAGGGGATAAGTGGGAAAAGCACCCCATTGCAACCAGCCTGGAGGCCCCTTTTATTCTTGGCATAGATTACCTCATGAGAGGGTACTTCAAGGACCAAAAGGGGTACCAATAGGCTTTTGGTGTAACCACTGTGAACACAGAGATCAAACAGCTCTCTACCCTGCCTGGCCTCTCAGAGGATCCCTTTGCTGCGGGATTGCTGCAAACTGAAGAACAGCAGCTGCCAGTTGCTACCACGACAGTGCACTGGCGGCAGTATCGCACAAACTGAGACTCCTTGGCCCCCATTCATGAGTTGATTCATCAGCTGGAGAGCCAAGGAGGCATCAGCAAGACTCACCCACCTTATAATAGCCCCATACAGCCAGTGCAAAAGTCTGATGGAGGGCGGAGGTTAACAGTAGACTGTCACGGCCTGAAAGAAGTGACGTCACCACTGAGTGCTGCTGTACCAGACACGTTAGAGCTCCAGTATGAACTGGAGTCCAAGGCAGCCAAGTGGTACGCTACAATTGACCTTACCAATGTGTTTCTCTCAATTCCTTTGGCAGCAGAGTGCAGGCCACAGTTTGCTTTCACGTGGAGGGGTGTCCAATACACCTGGAATCGACTGCCCCAGAGGTGGAAACACAGTCCCACCATTTGCCATGGGCTAATCCAAACTGCACTGGAAAAGGGTGAAGCTCCAGAACATCTGCAGTACATTGAATAAACATACAAATCACACGTTCTTTGGTTCTTTGCTTGCACTGGGAACAGGAACTACAAACAGACAGCAGTGAACAATATAATTGTACAGTCAATACGATCTGTCCTTCAAATTACTGACACAGCGTGATACATTTCAATGAATGAAATAACAAAGTGGGACCATATAACCAAACACCTAGGAGCGGCCTGAGGAAGGGTGCTGCTGCCGTCCCTGAAGAAGAGATCAGAGGAAGCCTGGACATGCTGTCTGATCACTGAAAGGGTACTAACACCGAAAGGCCCAAACCAAGTCAGGTCTGAACAGGCAGTTCAATCAGTGTTTTCTAAGTACCTCAGGAAGGTAAATAGTAGGGAAGGAGGACGAGTGAAAAACCCTCCCAGCACTGGCAGCACGCTGTGAAAGGGTGCTACAGACTCCTGGGAAATATCTCTAGTTTTGTTCCTTTCCTGCCCCTGCCTTCTTTCCCCTTCTGTTAAGACCTGCTGATCTACGTAACAGCCGAGGAAGACAGCTCTTTAACAATCATCATGTAAAGCAGCAGTTGTGAATAACTGCAGGATGTAACATTAGACAGCTTCTAAACATCAGAGATGTTTTTAAACAGCCTCCAAGAAGAAAAGATGCAGATAAGAAGACACAGTTGTTGTGGAAAGCAACTTGATACTCTTCTGAATAATAAACAGTGGCAGAAAACAGGATATAATTATCTTGATTTGTCTTAGTTTTGTGGTTTGTTGTTTGGGGTTTTTTTTGGCCTATAGTTGTTCTGGTATAGTTGCCTACCAATAAACAGGAAGTACCACCCTTCTCCAACACCTGTCCAAAGGCCATCAGAGAATGGCTTTATAGAATTTTTTATAAACATTTCCACCATTAGATATTACAGTTTATTCAAACAGAATCTATTCGTTGTGAGGAAAGAAACAGGGACAGGAAATCATTGTTAGGTTTTGACAACTATATTGATAAAAAGCAATAATTAAAATTTTATGTGATAAGCAACTGGACAGAACATAACCCATGTTCTCTCAAAAATTTAATATCAATCTGAAGGAAGACAATTTTCTTCAAAAGAAAATGTGACAATTTTACAGCATATAAGTTTAAAAGAAACTTATCTTCAACTGCTGCATTAATAAATCCATATGAATATAAATAATCTGATTTAATCACATTTGTAATTTCCAGTTACAGTTTAGCAATTACAAGCAAATACAAGTTACTATGCTAGAGTAATTCTTTGTCCTGGTCTGAGCGTTGAGCCAACTTGTCCTTTCCTCTTCTTGGGATTCGGAAAATTATCATACCTGGAAAAAGATATTAGCAAATTCCTATGAAATGCCTTTGTTTGCATATGCCTCTTTAGATACCCATTAATGCAACACAGAACTACAGATGTTTACGTATATTTTATGGAAATGAAGAGTGCATGCCTCCTCAGACCTGGGGACCTGCAGGACTTTTCAACCACAAACCTAAGTCAGAGGTCTCGCTGCCCTGCTTCCCCTCTCTCAGGGACAGGGTAGTACAGACTCCCGGGAAGCATCTCTCCTCCTTTC